TGGTTGTTTATTTTCATCAAGTACTAATCACCAGAATAACAAAAGCAAAGAAGCCAGGAGAGAATCATTTACAAAGTCCTTCACTTTACTGTACTGGGAATCCAAGTAAAGAGAGAAAAGCAGGAACTAGACTTTCCCATAGAAACTTCTTAATATTCTGTAGTGGTTCAGAAACGGCACAGGAAATGCAGTGACATACCGCAGAGAGAGGACTTGGACTTAGATAACATAAGTCCACTGGCAGCTGGAGACCAGAACACAGGGACCCTTGACCACTCACTGCACCTGATGGTGGAATGCCAACACCAGCGACCTGCTTGAGGGCCACCTAAGCAACTGGAAGTAGATGCCAGCTTTCTATGGAGCAAGGATTACCTAGGGTCTCCTGAAGCCAGGACAGCTGACTCTGCCAGAGCCTTCTTTTCCTTCCTAAGACATCAAGGCCAACCAGCCAAAACAAAGGAGTGGGAAGAAAGAATCCTGATACATCAGACTACATGCACAGAATCCAAACCCAGATATTTTTCGAGACACACTCTGACTTCTAGGTTTTAACACTGTTCGGTTGCCTTCCTGACCTCTGAGGAAAGGTATTTCTTGATGTTGGTCTCTCAGGCAGAAAGAGACTTTTCAGAATGCCAAGAGGTTATGAATTTCTTCAACCCATCTAACACACTGCAATAAATAATGACCACCTCTTTCTTCCCCTGACACTTCATCTTACAGTAGTCTTTCACAAACAATTTGCTTCATTGCCCACTGAGAGAAGTGTGGCTATAGCACACATTGTACAAAGGCAGGATAGGTTTGGGGATGGGCAGGGGATCAGAGGCTGCAGGAGTTTGAAGGGAGGGGCTTCTCCAGGATGCTGAGATGACTAGATGCTATTGCTGTGGTAGATACAAGATTGTGCATGTACAGAATCACGAAACAAAAGGTGAGCCTAACGGACAGTTATTTCACATCAACTGTGTCAAGATACGAAACAACCTTGAAACAGTAAGTAGAAATTCTAAGATTAAAGTTAGATGGGATAGCACGTAATCACTCCACTATGGCTGATACGCACTGTTTTTCCTGCCACAAGGGCACAGGTTAATCATTCTGAAATTATTATTAATGCACTACACACTTAAACAATTAAGGAAATTAATGGTAAGTGTTGGGATCCAGGTTTCCCAAGGTTAAAATGTTGTAAATGAGCTAAAATAAAATTCTAGAATAATCTGTGTAGTGCTAATTAGAGTTTTAAACCTATGTTTTAAACCTATGTTTTAAACCTAAGTTTCTACAGAATAAAGGAAGGCGTGTTGAAGGGAAGAGAAGGTGAGGGGAGAGAGGGGAGGGAAAGAAAGAAGAGAAGGGAGAGGGAGGAGAGCGGAGGGGAGGGAAGGGAAATGGGGAGAAGTACAGAGATAACAATAGGTCAACAGTACACAATATCTGAATTAAATAATTCCCCATAGATAAAGAAGGTACAATCTGAGCCATGAATTCTATGATTCAATAATTAGAACTCACACTGTAAAATGAGTATCCAAGTCCACACCAGCATTCAAATAAAGAAATAACTGAGGGAGAATGATTTATGCAAATCTGCCCCCATTCTCAGGTGTGAACACTTCCTTCCCAAGAGTTGAGTATGCAAACAGCAGGAAAAAGTAGCTTTTTGTGTGGAGCAACCTGACAAGCCCTCAGCCTTAAAATGAATATAATGTTTCTTAGTCATGCACTTTTTGATCATAATGGACGTTTCTCTTCTTTTCCATTCTAGAAGGGAACAGCAGCACCATCCCCACATTGATGGTGGGGTGTCCCCTGGACGGGAACTATGCTGCTTCGTGTACCAAGAACTGCCATCAGGACTACCATGCAGAAGCAAACATACCTACAACTCCCAGATGAGAGCATGGAGTTTGCCTCAAAGTTATGCATGTTGGTTATGCAGTGTTTGTGCTTACCTGAAATTCATCATAAAAAATTTAGATACCTTTTCACAATAATTTACTTTGAAAAACGCATTCAAATTTTCACATCTTCAGTGATGCAATTCATGTCAGGAGAAAAATCGCTAATTCCCTTAATGCTTCATTTTATACTCAACTCCATGAATGCAGGAGTCAAGAAGAAGCATCGTTTTGCAATAAATGTCAAAAACATGCTTTATCTAAATACAGTACTGACAAAACTTAGTTATAGATCATTTATACCCTTCCATGGCCAAAGTAATCCATGGGCTTCCTCAAATTGCTTTTGTCTATAAAATAAACTCAATTTGCTTTAGCACATAAAGCACAAATTTAAAACAATATTTCATAAATCTGTCACTGAAAATTAAGGTAATCTTTAATTTACAAATACTGCCACCACTACATGAGCTTTACGTTGCCCAGGCTCGAAAAGTGAATTAGACAACAGAAAGCTGGTTCTCAACCTTAGCTTCAAGTAAAGGTAAGATTGCTAAGAAATAAGCCCATTATTAAATGTTGCTAAAGATTTCCTATTGCACTCACATGGTTCCAGTCTACTGATTCCAAAAAAATACACATCACTTTCTGTGCTAAACCCACGGCATCTCCTGAAGTTTCTCTAGAAATAACAGTTCATCCCCCAAGTACTCTACAGTGAGGCAGAAATATAAAATGGATAGTAGATAAACGTTGAGAGAATCATTCAATCCTGTTTTACGCCACTGTCAAATGCTCTCTTTAGAACGCTTCTCAAAGAGAAAGGGTAAAGTCTAGAGTAAATGATACAGAGCAACGTAAAAATACGCCAAGTGATTATCTGTTAAAAATGCTGGTAAAGGAAAGAGAAAATTCCTATTCTTAGAAAAACACACCTGTCCCTTCACATTCCTTCAAATGAGTTTCTCGTGCAGTAAAACTAAATAGGAAAATGAAGCTGGTACTCCCACAAGCAGGTTAAAACTCCAGGGCCTTCACAGCAGAAAGACAGGACACTCAGACAGCTGCCTCCGTTTCTTTTTCAGAATATCTTCCTTTCATTTATGCTCAAATTGTCCAAAATAATGCATACAACAATACATTAAAGCCTCTATTAAAAATCCTGACATTCTAAAAACAAACCAGTTACAAGTTATTATGGAAAATGTTATAAACAGAAAATATCAATAACATTTCCATTTCAAAAAATGTCTTGGGGACCTTCCAAACATTCTAGGCGCTTATGACTTTATACTATCTAAAAATTGTGACTTAACGGTTAATTGGGCAAGTAGACTTACCTGTGTTTTGTTTTGATTTTTATATGTTTAGAACAAATATTTCAAGAACAAGGCTTCATTTCATATTCTCTCAAAGATTTAGCTCCACAAAAACGAGAAATTCAAATAAATTGTAAGTAACATTCAAAGAAAAATAATTGAATAGGAAAAGAGTAATAACTTATACTAGACAGATGGCGGGAAAAAGGTCCTTCAAGATCAATTAGTCTGTTTTTTGGGTTTACTTTTTTTTTTGGTATTTTTTTTTCATCCAGCACACTGGTTCCTTTAATTTCTGACTGATCTATAAAAATTATCAGTGGTCAATAGGATAAATTAGTAAAATCCAATAAAAAGACAGTGTGTGATTAATATCTGTCATTATAAAATGTGACTGAGTTAAAATCAATAGGACTTTTACTCGCAGTAGTATCTCTCTTGCCTTAATCGCTCATTCATAGTTCATTGAGAATATGCTAGTTGAGGAACTGAGATAGCTCTGAGAAATGTTGAATCTCCAAGCAAAACAATTTTCCCAATTGTGTGTGGCAGATCCAGGGGCATAAGTTGAATATGAGACGGGATCCAGTGATGCAGTGACTCCTCTCAGCCACACAGCCACTCATGAAAAGGGTACAACATCATATGTATTGGGAGTTGTTGATCTCAATGACAATTTTAACCAGAAACTGTTTATTAAAAAAATGTTAAGTCCCAAAAACTTATTACCGGGAGTTTGGGGGATCGAGGCATCAGAACATGTGTTATCATGGAGCACAATGCAATTCACACTTTCTAAGTCAACCTGTCTTTTGCTAACTTTCCCATATCCCCTGCTCACTGCTCACTTGCTGAGACATTTGTTTTTAGGGAGGAGATTATAAATGGCTCTTTTCCCACGAGTCCTCCAGCATCCAACATCTGAACTCATGTGCGCTAGCCTCCGTTTCACTAATTTAACAGTCACTGCCATTCTCAGCCTTTACAGAGAACTTTTCCTCTCAAACATGTACTAAGAGAAAAACACGGCTGATTTCAAGAGACACTGTAGTAGACAGAAGAAGGAAAACAGCATTCGCTGAAACCCAAAAATGTCACACAGTGTCCTCAGTACTTCAAATACAATATGTTTAATTCTGACAAGCACCATGAGAAATGCTTACTAATCATTGTCACATTTTAGAAACCAAGGTTCACAGATGTTAGGTAACTTGCCCAGACACCAATTACTAGTTAACAATGAAATACAGATTTGAAACACAAATTCATATCCATGTTTTCCCCCAAAAAATATGATGCATAGAGAGAGATAGGATAATCTCAGGTTCCAAAAGTAAAGGTACCACACCTTGTAGTAAATAAGCTGGATCTAACATGTTCATGTAATTACATTCAGGGTTTGAGGAAATTCTGTAGTTTGATGTCCCATTAATTCTATTTATATTAATGTTCAATTTCCTTTATTTTTGTTTCTTTGCTACCAACATCTCTCTTTATTATGGATACAATTCAGGGATATTCTGTAATATCAGGAATTAATTCAAGTATAAATTTAGGAAACAATAGTCTCCTTGAAGCTTTCACCTATTTCCCTTTTAATTTACTAAATTAATTTACTGAAGACAGATTAAAATAGCTTAACAGTACATAATTTTAGCATTATAATGACATCATTTCTTATGCTTTTCCCTCTAAAATGGGAGCTGTTTAATTCATAAAACTGTGTAATAAAATAGGAGTTTCTGGCTGTGTCCTGGGTTTCATTATTATACAGGATTTTTTTAACAGCTATTCTGCAAATCAAGCAGGAGACTAATAGCAGTCAACTTTGTTCTCTTAGATCATATGATTAGCAGTTCATAGCAAACCATGATCTATCCTTATTTTCATTAATACCATAGGTTTATTTGGCTTCTCCTTATCTTCACCCACAGTATAAGCTCTATAAAAAGCAAGGTATTATGTTTTGTTCCAAGAAAAGTTTCTAGCCTCACAAGCAAGAAGGGACGAGGAGAACAACAGACAGAACACAGAGCGTGTGATCAGAAATGATAGAATCCCGCCCCCGAGGGCTGGAAGTGTCTGACATTCTCTCCTGCAGAAGCCTCTCTGGCACATCAGGAAGTGGAATAAGAGAGAAGTCACAACACTTATCCGTAGGTGGCTCATCCATAATTGCCAAGTCAGAACACAGGTCGCAGAAAACAGCTGTCCTGACCCGCAGGGCTGTGTTTCAATGACACTTAGCGTGCAGATAATGAGAAAATTCAAAAGAGTTCTGCTGAAGCAGTGCTAGCTCTACCTCTTACACACACAAATCTAGAAGACTAGAGAAAATGGGTAATGAGAACTTTTAAATATGTTTTTAAAATTATTTGAGAGAGAGTTTCCAATAAGTCACTGGTTCACTTCTGGAATGCTCACAAAGCTAGGGCTGGACTGAAACAGCCAGAACTCACCAGCTCAGCACCGGGTGGCAGTGCCCAGTGACTTGGGCCATCACTGCTGCCTCACCAGTGTCCACATGAGCAGGAAGCTGTAATAAGAAACTAGAGTGAGGTCAGTCAGTCTGATGAAAATTACAGGCATCAGAATCAGTGTTTCAACTGCTATGCCAAACTTCCTGATTCCTAGAAGCATTTGTGAACATATGCTGGAAAATAGGAGTTGGTATTGCAGTGTAATGCGTAAACTGCTTGCAATGTGGATGTACTGTACCGGGGTGCTGGGTTTCAGTCCTGTCTCCACTTCTCATCCAGCCTTCTCCCAGTGGGTGTCCTGGGGAGCAGCAGAATATAGTACAAGTGACAGTCCTGTCATCATCGTGGAGGCCCTGGATGGAGTTTTGGGCTCCTGACCTACTCTTGGTCCAACTCCAGCTGCTGTGTGAACTTTGGGTATCATGAGGCAACAGATAACTCTCTCTCTCACGGTCTCATGCGAGTGTGAACATGTGTGCCCTGCCTTGCAAATGAATGAACCAAAGATGTTACCAAATCAAATTCTTTACCTATTTTCCAACTTAAGTCAGCATTCATTGATAACCTAGGTAACAACTTCTTGGACCCAGAGCTGCGGTAAATACAAAGCCTGACCACAACTGGGCATGTACAGTTGGAACTGATGACCCAGTTAAGGAAACAGGGAAGTACACAGATAGCATAATCCCGAGTCTGGGATGGAGAGTGGACCACTACCAGGAGTGGTACACGGTCACTGCGGGATGAAGCAGGAGAGAACAGACTGCCTTTTCATTATGCATCAGAATACTTGTGTAAAAGGTCAAAATTTGGAATTGTGATAGGTAAAAAAAATATAAAAACTCCTGAAATCTTGCTCTCTCCGTTGATTTGGGACTTTCTCAGCTAACCTTAACACAATGAGTCAACGGTGGCGCTTCCTCTCCCAGACATGCTGAGAGCTGTCTGAATTTGACTTCCAGCACACTGTGGAGAGCCCCTCCCAATTGGCTTCCACCGGCCACAGGGTCAGGAAAGTCACTTAAGACCCGTTCTACCTGCTTGAGTTACAAAGTACTCTCTCGCTTTTTATTCGTAAATAATCCAACACGCTATACTTCACAAATAGAAAAAGGCAATTCTATTCAGCAACACTGTTCTCCAAAACATTAGTAATCTACGAAAGTTCACTAATAATGTACTACATTTGAATTTATTTCTACATTTTGATTCCTGAATGTTTAAATCTTGCTTTATCAAAAGGCTAAAATAAAGGGGAAAAAACGGAACGACTTTGTTTAAATATCAGAAAAGGCGCAATCCCTCATCTCACCTGAACATGAAATGAACCATGTTACCATTGCAGGGTAGAGTACCCACTTAAGCTTTCTTAGAATTTCAGTACGTGTCTGTTCTGGGCTACAGTTCTGAAAGAATACCCAATGGATGAAGCTTTCACTTTCCTAGTTGAAAGCTCTTTTTCTTTTCTTTTCTTTTTTCCCCTCAGAGAAGGAAATGGTGCCAATCAAGTGTGATTTTTCTAGAACAAGCAGGTGATTTAGGAAGAGACAAATGCATATCATTTGTAGCACGTTGAGATTTACATAATTCCCGTAACCCTTCCACCACAACCTTAGATCCAACAGTACATAGAAATCCCAAGGAAAAAAAAAGCTGAATGAGAGCTTTGATTAAAACAAGATCCGAGAAAGACAATTGTTACGACTGACAAAGTAGTAGACACATTAGCAATCACTCGTTCTTTCTGCACACATGTCATCTATCTTATCCTTCACAGAATGCACATGAAGAGAAATAATTATTAGCCAAGTGCATGTCAGACCTCTGACATTAATGGAATCCAGTTGAGAAGACATGTCGGGGTAGCTTTTGTAGCACAGCTCAAGCTACTGCTTTGGAATTCCACATCTCACACAGAAATGCCAATTCCAACCCCGGCCACACTACTTCTGCTCCAGTTTTCTGATAACGGGTACCTGGAAGGCAGCTGGAGATGGCCCTGGTACTTAGGGGCCAGCTGCCAACGTGGGAGACCTGGGTAGAACTCCTGGCTTCTGGCTTCAGCCTAGCCCAAACCCGGCTGCTGTGGACATCTGGGTTGTGAACCACTAGAAGGAAGAGCTCTCTTTCTCTCCGTGTCTCCCCTTCTATCTCTCTGTCATTGTGTCATCCAAACTAAAAAAGAAAAAGTCGAAAAGATGAGATATCAATAAATACGTAGTGCTGTATTCAAACACACCTTAGCAAAAATGATCGGGTTGAGCTAAGCCGGGAAGGTCCTGTTGTGGAGAGCTGGGGAGACTCGGAGCAAGAGTGGCCTCCAGACAGCCCGGAGAAGAGCAGGAGGGAAGCAGACACCACACTTCCATCAGCCACCGGGACCTCACAAGGATGCAGACACCAGGTACCTGGCCTCAATGTAAGGGATTACACTAGATGGTAAACGCTAAGTGCTCCTTGCCTTCCAGAAATGGAAAAGCATGTATTTGCCATATATAAATTACTCTAATTTTGACTGAACCTGTGAAGGCCTCAGTTAATTATCTCTCATTGAACAGATCCAGGAATTAAGAGATCAAATGTTACAGAATATGCCAAAATTCACAGAGCTACTAAATGAAGTCATGGTGCTGCCAACACAAGCACTGCAGGAATGAAAACTATTATCTTCATTTAAAATATTTTAAAATAAATTAAAAGTCAGATAAAACAATATTCTGGTTCAAACAAACATCAAATTATTGCAAGTTCTTCCTATTTTCTTCATTGAAATTAGTGTATCTTATATGATGGCTTTTTGGGGGAAATGGAAAGCAAGCTACAATATTTATTTTTCAGGAATAATGTCCTACTCAAAACCACCAGAAGTGGTAAGTCAACACGAGACAATACTGTGCTGCTACATCAAAACGATAAAAAAAAATTTTGAGTAATTTCATGAGTCATTTATAAATGCTGCTGAATAAATGACTAGCAATTCAAGCAAACTGCAGTCAACATATGTTATGAAAAAATTACCAAATGCTTAAGAAAGGAAACATTCAATATTATGTCCATCTATTTATAGCATGTGCCTTTGTGTAAGTTCATAGCAATCCGTGTGCACGTGAGCTGCCTGTAGTATTTGATAATCTAAATTATTTGTAACATACTATATCTCATATGTTCTCTCTGGAAGCGTTATTTGGTTCTTTTCAACACATTGAACTGGAAAAATTACTAGAAAGCAGTGAATTAAAGAACTCCGTTGGAGAAAAATGTGGAGAAAATATTCATGAAAATAATTTTATTTTGATCACCTTTGAATAAGGGTTCCAAAAGTAGCAGTTTGTTCTCTTAAATTTCAAGATTTATTTGTAACTAAGATAAAAATTGTATCTTAACCTAAGGCACGTTCTCATATTTAAGGCAAAGTATGCTATAATTTTCTAGAAGTGTCAAGTATTTTAGGATAGAAAATAAATTCATTCTTAATTTAAATTTAAAACCAATTTCAGTGGGCCCAGCACAGTAGCCTAGTAGCAAAAGTCCTCACCTTGCATGTGCCAGGATCCCATATGTGCACCGATTTTAATCCCAGCAGCCCCACTCCCCATCCAGCTCCCTCCTTGTGGCCTGGGAAAGCAGCAAAGGATGGCCCAACGCCTTGGGACCCTGCACCCGTGTGGGAGACCCGGAAGAAGCTCCTGGCTTTGGATGAGCTCAGCTCTGACCATTGTGGTTACTTGGGGAGTAAACCAGTGGATGGAAGATATTCCTCTCTGTCTCTCCTCCTCTCTGCAAATCTGCCTTTCCAATAAAGATAAACACATCTTTTTTGTTTTAAAGATGCTTTCCCCCTTACCAGAGTTTCTTTCCCCAGATGACTTTATCTTTCAAACGAGTCTGATCCTCGCGACACTGTAAGTCTACACGGTGCTGCTCTGTAACACAGGATTCCTGCTGACAAGGCTGAGCTGCCCAAAGCTGAATATCATGTCTTACTGGACTTTCCCCTTGGGCATTGCTTGTTACAGGATTATTAAAGAATGAAAATAACTCACAGTTCGTCACAGCCGATCTGCAAGGTTTCAGATATCTACACATGGGTCAACAACACGTCCCAAAATGTGCATTTACTTGGAATCTTTAAGAAAAGAAATGGTAATCTATCAAATTCTCCATCCTTGCTTTCCCAACATATCTTCCCTATTCCCTCTCAGGGCGAAAGACCTAGTGAGTTTGGGCACACCTTCTTGGGGAAGGGCCTAACTTTGAATGTGTGATGTAAGGACCCATTTTCTTTAATTCAGTAGAAATATTCATTTCTATCACATCACCACAGTGGAGCAAATGGAAGGCTCCCTGAAGACAAGCCCTCAGAACTTGTACATGCAAAGCATAACCAGCTTCCCATCGGGCTTTTCTATCCCGTGTTGTTGCTGCAGAAGTTACAGGAGCAGCGGCTGGCAAGCCTACTTCATCGGAGTTCAAACGTTTGTGAAACCCACGCATTATATTCCAACACATGCTTCAATGTATACTTAGAGTTACACATACATACTTATATTTACACCTAGGAATTATTAATTCAACAACTTTATCAATGACTTCAGAAAACATTTAATCATTGAGGATATTCCTCCAGCTGGGATCTTCTGAACCTAGTATAAATTCATCTTCAGTTCCTGAACACATTTTGGGTCAAAATACTCTTGCTTTTTAAATACTAACACAGCTTATTCTCCCTTTTGAAAGCAGAGATTTCACAGGGACCCTTTACACGAGCTAACCACAGCCAGCTTTGCCAACCCCCAAAGTAAGACGATCATGAGCAGAATCCAAAAAAAATATTTCCCCTCTATAGTAGACACTGCTCCTTTCCTAGCTGATTTCTTGACTTGTAAGAAATAGGTCTATCTTGTTGTTTTTAAAAGATTTATTTATTTTGATTAGGAAGTCGAATATACAGAGAGAACGGGAGAGAGAGAGGAAGATCTTCCATCCGTTAACCCGAGTGGCAGCAACAGCCGGTGTGTGCTGATCTGGAGCCAGGAGCCTGGAGCCTCTTCCAAGTCGCCCGTGTGGGCACAGGGTCCCAAGGCTCTCAGCCGTCCTCGACTGCTTTCCCAGGCCACAAGCAAAAAGCTGGATAGGAAGCAAGGGGCCGCTGAGATTAGAACCTGCACCCACATAGGATCCTGGTGCATGCAAGGTAAGGACGTGAGCCACTAGGCTACCATGCAGGGCCCTATATCTTCTGAAAAAAATAGTATTAATTCAGCATCCTAATGAATTCAGAACCCTAGCGAATTCAGAAAATGATTTTGGATCAACTGCTGAAACACATCTTACTAGAAAAAGTGAAACCAATTTGTCAGTAATGTTGTTGCAGGTGGTGTCAAATACTGTCTCCTTAAAGTAAGCAAATGTATTTGCTTAAAAGTCAGAGAGATGGATCCAGACAGTGTGAGTCAGCGGGTTCTGCTGCCACTTCCAATGACCTCATTTATACCAGCCTTAATTATTCCACTTCTAATCCACCTTCCTACTAACGGGCCTGGGAGGCACCAAGAAGCTTGTCCGAGAATTTCTGTCCCTGCCACCCATGTGGGAGACCAACATGAAGCACAGCCTCAGCCTGGAACCATCTTGACTAATGTGAGAATCTGGGGTGTGGAGGCTCCTCTGCTCTCCCGCCTGTGCTGTCCATCTCTCTTATTCTGTTTTCTGCTTTTAAACATATAAGTAAAAATGTTTTAAAGTTCTTGGGAAAACATAATTACAAAATACTTAATATTTTATTGAAATACCATATACATATCAAGAAATGCACACAGGTGTACAGATAAGTGAGATTTTTTTCCTATCATCGGATAACATTCTTATATAACAAACAACAAAATGAAGAACAAATCATTACTGAAAAACAGTGAGAGTGATAACGGTAACAGATATTTCTTGAAAAAACCCTAAGCCAACCTACCACACTTTGTTTGGTAAATACCAGGACAAATACACCTAACTTCATAAACAGGTGTACAAATTTTTGTGAATAGTTTCGACCATGGTTCTTAAATGAAGTTTTAAAACAACTTCTAAATGAACTGTTTTTAAAATAACTCTTTTCTAACTTGTTCTCTTTAAGTATCTCCGTTAAGGACACTCCCTAATTTGCTCCACTTACATATTCTTAATTCATTGTATTCTATTCTGTCCTATACTCAATTCTTAAATTTATAAATACCTATCCTTTGTGCTCAATATTCTGGGCAACTAAACCAAAAGTAAAATAATTTGTTTTTCCTGGCCAAAGATGGAAAAGGTCAGGAAATTTTCAAAAATGGCAAAAACAAACAAACAAACAAAAACAAAAACCTTCCTGTTGGGATGAAGTATCGCTCCTTCGCACTGGAGGAGCAGGAAGGAGTTTACACTCTCTTGGTTATAGATCAGCATAATTTTTCTTCTGAGTAGGTCAACAGGCATCCTTGAAAGAGTTGTGAACTTCTGGGATTTCAATGATTCTCAAATGCCATAATAACTTCCCTATTTCAAGCTTTATAAATTACTTTTTCCTTTACACAATTTTTAGGAAATAAAATTCTGTTACATTGCTGTCATTTTAAATTCTAGTGAGTGTTACTCAGTATCAACACATGAAGCTTAAATTAAAGATAATGCCTGCTTATCTCAAAATGTTATTCAGAAATGTCCAAGGGCACATATAGTGCTGGAAGCAATTTCTTTCCAAGAAAAAGAAAACACCCAAACAGGTACACAAAAGTCCACACATGACACTGCTCTGGGCCCGAACACTAACAGTGGGAGACTGATGACAGAAAGCTACGCATGGCTTATTTTTCTTACTTTCTCAATGAAGCAGAAAAGCTGTGTGTCTGTTTAAGTGGTGCTGTCTTGGATGCAGTGAGGACTATGTAGAATCTGTGATGGAGATATTACGAGTGAGACAAAGTGTCGAGATAGGACTCTGATTTCCACTGTCACTGTCTCCACAGAACTACCACATGCTGCAAGGCAGATACTTCTAAGCAACATAGCATAAAACCAAGCAAGACTACTCAGCTGTAACCTTTTTTAAATAGCTCAAGTTGCAAACTCCACACTCTTGAATCTCTTTGGGTTTTTATAATTGTAAACAGTTAAAATTGCAAATATTACTACTAATGGAAATTATCATTTTAAGGTAGTACATGTCTCTTGGTTTTGAAAGAAGAAAGTCAAAAGCAGGGGTGGCATTTTGGTGAAACTGGGAAAGCTATCACTTGCCAACTCAGCATCCTACATGGGGGTTGGTTCAAGACCCAGACGCCCTATTTCTGACCCAGTTTCCTGCTAATGCACCTGGGAAAGCAATAGAAGCTGATCCAGGTGCATGGGGCACTGTACTCAATGTAGGAGTCCCAGAAAGGCTCCTGGCTCCTTTCTCAGGGTCCCTGGCTTCTGGCTCCTGGCTACTGTCTGCTGGCCCCTGGCTCCTGGCTCCTAGCTCCTGGTGCCTGGCTCCTGACTCCTGGCTCCTGTTTGCTCTACCCTGGTCCCTGGCTCCTGGTGCCTGGCTCCTGACTCCTGGCTCCTGTTTGCTCTACCCTGGACCCTGGCTCCTGGTGCCTGGCCCCTGTCGCAGAAAGGCTCCTGGCTCCTTTCTCAGGGTCCCTGGCTTCTGGCTCCTGGCTACTATCTGCTGGCCCCTGGCTCCTAGCTGCTAGCTCCTGGCTCCCTGGCTCCCTGGCTCCCTGGCTCCTGGAGCCTGGCCCCTATCTTCTGGCCCCTACTTCCTGGTTCCTGGCTCCTAGCTCTTGGCTCTTGGCTCCTGGCTCCCATCTGCTGGCCCCCAGGCCCTGGTCCCTGGTCCCTGGCTCCTGGCCCCTGTCTCTTGGCTCCTGGTGCCTGACTCTGGCTCCTGGCTAGGATATGGCCTACTCACTGTGGACATGTAGTACAACAGATGAAAAATCTCTCTCCCCCACCCTCCCACCTACCCTTTCAAAGGAATGGCTCAAATCTTAAAAAAAAAAAAAAATTCAAAAGCAAACAGTGAGTTGTAAGAACATGGTAAGGAAAAATGAATTTAAGTGATTGTCTCTGGAGAGAGCACAAAACCTTTGTAAGCAAATGCCGTGTACGTTCCCAGAAGAGAACAAGGGGGAAAGAATTGTCCAAGGCATACATTAAATGCATAGTTTGGAAAACAGAAGGGATGAGTCACTCAAATTTTGTTTACTTGTTTGGTTCTGAAATGCAATGATCGAATTCATTTCACTCAGCATTTTTCCCATAAAGTAGCAGACCCCAGCAGTGGCTAGTTTGCAAAAAACACAGTTTCTAAGGTGGCTGAGTTGCAGTTCTGTTAGACAAAAATGTCTATCTATCAAAGTTAAACTGTCAAACTTGTTTTGCCAACCTTTTATTGCCCCAAATTAAACTGTTCAAGTAAAACTAAACCCAACTGGAACTTATAGAAAATGAGCAATTTTAGCTTCAGCTGATTTCGGAATATACAGAGCAATGGAAATAAGTGAGATAACAACATATAGCGAATTGCCTGGTAAGATAATGAAGCTAATTAGCACCTCTCACCTGGGATAAGTAGCACCTGGGAACTTCATGCATTCCCTCCTAAATAACATGTGTAATACTCACAATGAAATATTTATTTCTTCATACCACACTTTGCATTTTATAGGCTTAATTTAACAAAACTCAGTGGGATCTTCAAGGCTTCATCCATGCTGTCAGAAATTTATTAGAAAATAAATAGTGTGATAACCATTTTTAAAGGGAACCTGGCAGGTATTGAAGAGAAAGGTAGTATCTTGTTTTAATTAATGAGTCCAACATTAAAAAACAGAATCATTCATTTCAATACTGAATCGGGGATTAGAAACCATTGCAGTCAATTCCCTATTTTCCCATTGAGGAAATGAAAGATTGGAAAGGTGAATTAAATTTGCCTAGGTCACACGGCAAATTTTCAGCTTCCGGTTGCTATGTTTGAAGATGCAGTAACATCTAGGAGGACGCCAACCATAAAGAAACAAGTCCTTTCTGGTCTGTCGCATGTGGCAAGGCTTGCTGTCCTGAGCACCTTACACAGGCTGGCTTCCTAGGTTGACAGAGAAGCTC